GATTGTGCGCAGTGCAAACGAGTGCTTAACTTTTTTGTCGGTGAATGTATATGAAATTTACTTTACTAAAAATCCAAAGTAATATTTATTTCAATATTTAACTATTTAGGTTCCAAACAAGGTGATAAAAAAACTAATATTTTTTAATCAGGCGCTACTAGGCCAGCTACATCAAAAAGAAACATTTGGGGTCTTTTTTTGCTTCACGTGTGTGCCTGCTGCTAAGAACCATGCCGAAGTCGAAGAGAGACAAGAAAAGTAAGAAAACATAATAATAAATTCAGTTTTGTGTAGCATTTATTATCGGTTTTTTTGTTGATCGTTCATGTTGAAGATTTACATTAAATAGAACAGAAGAATGAATGCGATTAGACAGTATAGCAAGCTAAAGTTAGCTTAACTCTTGCGTGGCTGGTATGGTTTCTGCTGTTTTACACCTGCTTATATTCCGGAGGTAACAAACGATACTATTTTCACAACATTTTTCTTTCAGTTTCCTTGACTAAAACTGCCAAGAAAGGACTGGAATTAAAACAGAAGTTAATCGAAGAGGTGAGTTTTTCTGATTTGCTCTCTTCACATAATGTTATCTGATTTTGTTAACATTTTTCTTATTATTCTGTAGTTACGGAAATGTGTGGACACATACAGAAACCTGTTTATATTTTCYGTGGATAATATGAGAAATAATAAGCTTAAGGACATCAGGACAGCATGGAAACACAGCAGGTAATACTTAGCACCTTTTCGRTTTTATGAAAATCTCTCAAATCACACAGCTTATCAATATTGTTGGTGGTGCAAATACTCAACTTTTCCTTCAAGAAATTGATTATGAAAAAAGCTATATAGAAAGAAAATGACCAAAACCATTTAAATCTACACACATTCTTGTGCGGATTCAGAAACAATGTAAACAAACTAACCCAACTTAAAGGTAAAAAGACACTAGAAGTCAAGTGAAAGTTTATTTCAACAACATATTTCTCTGACTTGCCTGTGTATTACTTATTCACATATATCATGCTAATCTTGTGTTTGAAAAGTTATTTATGAAGTTGAGTTCTGATAATCTTTGTGTTCATGATGTATTCTGGTTCCAGTCACATTTGGTTTTAAAATCATTACAGTAAAACATGGTAGCTGTTAGGTATGAACAATATGCTGTACTTGTCACAGTGCCATACAGCAGGTAATCCTACAAGGGTATTAGAGATTATTGAGGTCACTGGGACAGACTGGACTTGACCCGACACAATCTCAATCAGGTGATTCATTAGGACCAAAAAGATCCAGTGTACTGCAGTGACTGGTAAAAGKGCAATCTAGGACACAATATGAAGAATATGAAAAAAAAAATGATTATGATAAACTAGGTGTATTTATATGACAACCACACATTTGCCTTTTAAAAATACTTCATACATTGAATATGTTAAATCTGCTACTGAAGCATCTTTTTAATGTTGCTAAATCTAACTTATCTCTTCTCAAAGTGGGACTGAATTTGTTTGTTTGCCACAGGTTCTTCTTTGGCAAAAACAAAGTCATGATTGTTGCTTTGGGGAAAGGTCAAACAGATGAATACAAAGATAATTTGCACAAGGTAAGAAGTGACTCAAAAGTTCTGTCGAACTTACTTTAATCCCCCACCTAATCTGCTGCAGAGACTCAAGAACTTTATTGTTTYGATGATCAGGTCAGCAAGTATCTGCGTGGAGAAGTGGGAGTGCTTTTCACTAATAARACAAAAGATGAAGTACAAGAGTAAGTAAAGTTTTTAAGTTTATACTCTTGTAGTCACTCTCTTAATTGTGTTCATCAGCTGATCAAGTGTTGTGCTTCTTCCACAGATTTTTCARTCAATTCAAAGAGATGGACTATGCTCGCGCAGGCAACAAAGCACAGATGGACATAACGCTGGAAGAGGGTCCTCTTGAACAGTTTCCTCACTCAATGGAACCTCAGCTGAGGCAGCTGGGACTTCCCACTGCTCTAAAGAAAGGTAAGAGTAAAGCACAGTCTGTTGGTGGATACAGTATTTTTTCAAGATAATATACAAATCTTGCGGGAGAAAAAAAGTGATACTTTCTCAACTTGCCTTTGATACTCAGAGTTAATAGTAAATTTTGTGTTTAATCACCTTTTGACAAATGTTTTGAGCCACAGCATGACTTAGGTCATAATAAAGTGTAGGTTTAAATGTTTGAATTACCCTGTGATCAAACAATAAGTGTATATTTTGAAGCTCAAGATGAGAGAACATTTCTCTCAAAGCCACAAAGGGCACTGTACCTGCATTAATTATTAAAAAATACAAAGTGTCCATTGTTTAAATGATCTGTCCTCCAGGTTGGTTGAATCACCTGGGCTCAGAGTAACTAATCTGAGCTCATCAGTGTTTTTAGATGCTTAAAAAATGTTTCTTAAATCCCTCCACTTTTCCCAGAACATAGTGGTATAAGTCTGTGTTGTATGAGCCTCACCTTTATTTTAAATGCTCATTTCTTTCCCCCCCACAGGAGTGGTAACACTGCTGAAAGACTATGACGTCTGTAAAGAAGGAGATGTGCTCAGTCCTGAACAGGCTCGCATTCTGGTGAGTTCTCTGGTTGACCTGATAAACTGGAGACAAGAAGTTCAGTTTTTGACTTAGTCAGCTCATCTGTTATTCGTTTGGTTCACAGAAACTCTTCGCCATTGAGATGGCAGAATTCAAAGTGCAGATAAAATGTGTGTGGAACTCGGAAACAGGCGAGTTTGAGAACGTGGCTGGCGAGGAGGAACCTGCGCAGGATAACGAAGATGAAGAGGACGATGACGACGATGTGGAATAAGACTTCTGCCAGCTTTTAACAGATGGACTTTTATTTTGAAACGTGTGGCCATTTTTTWWAATCTTCCAAAACAAACACRACTCTTGAAATTCATCCTTGGACTGAGTCAAAGGCCTTGTATGCATCCCCCATGTTAATGTGTTGGAGAATGAAACATTTTCTATGAAACTGGTGTTTAATTAAACCCCATCATTCACATCTAAACTGCACACTTCTGAAATAATGAAATCATTGTGATCAGTTTTATTTATAAAAGGCACATTTATTTACATTTATACAATTAAGTGTAAAGTGTATCTTTGGGAGATAAAATTAGAGCCAGTCTCATCTGTGATTTCAGTAAAGTTTAAGGCAGTTTAAGGAAGCAAAACTGTAGCTGATGTCTGAAAAATGTGACCCGTCAAATCAAAATGAGGATCAAGTCAAATTTTGTCAAAATGACCTAATTACAGTTTCAGATTYCTGGCTTTAAAAGCTACATTTTGACACCTGGATCATTCTGATATCATACGTGGATCCAGAGATATGACTTAATTTATCTAGTTGGTTACGATAATACAATAATATTTGGTCTGAATTCTAATTTTATGTCATTTTAAGGAGGAATTTTCAATGTCAATATATAGAAAAAACTTCAGATATTTTTTGAGATTTTCCAGCTGGAAAGAAAAAAAACATTTCTAGCTCACAGGGAAAATCTCAATATTTTAAGGCGTTTTTCCCTCAATCAGGTTTTTTGTTGATACTGCCCAAAAACATGCCTCAAAACAAAATTTTGTTTTATGATTAAATTTCATACAGTTCATTCAGATGATACATTGATAAAGCATTTATTCATTGTTTTGACAAAATGCAATTTTTGAAAATGCTTTAATCAAAACACTATTTGACTTTTTTCTCCACATTCCACTTTTAGACTTGATCCTTATTTCGATGTGATGGGTCACAAATGTCTCGAGTAAATGAAACTGTTTCTTCATCTGAAATAGTTTGGACACTCGTGGGCTACRAGATTCCAGGCCTCCTTGAAGGCGTCGACCACCCTCTGATCCAGGGGACCCTCCTCAGCTGCCGCCAAGTTTTGCTGGAGTTGTTCCATAGTCGACATGCCAATGATGACTCCATCTCCAAGCTCACCCTGAACACAGTGTTTTAGATAAACTGTCAGGATGGTTTTAATCTTAAAAAGTTTATATTAAAATCGAGACAAACATGAATAATCTCATGTCCCTGTTGATGATGGAGAACGATGCGTACTTTCAGATGAGAGTGGTGGTACATCCAGCGCATGGCAGCAGAAGTCAGGGAGGGTTTCTCTGATCCGTACACCACCTCCAACGCCTTGAGAACCACATCTATGGCCTGAAAGTGACTCGGTTTCCAGTACCTTCAACAGAAAATTGCAATAGTCACAGTCCAGCTGCAGGAGGAGAGTTTCAAAAACAAACTGCTGATCTTTCACCTGTCTCTGTACGCTGCAGCCCAGCTGTTACCAAAGAATCGTCCTGCAGGCTGAGAGACGTCTTTGTCCTCGTAGTGGTACTTCCCCGTCAGAAGGCCACCTGGAGGAAAAGGAGGCCTAACTTATTTTTGATTTAGGCTAGAATTCAATACCAGCTCACACAAAGTACAATAAATTACATTAATTTTCACTTGTCAATAAACTAAAAAATTTAAGAATAAAAAAAACTGGCAATTTTTAGTTTAGTTTGGAAAAGTGGAGGGAGTTCCTTTTAAAATGCCAGGATGCATAATTTGTGATTGTTTTCCTGCTGATTTAGTGAAACAATTTTACAAACTACTAAAATGACTGACTAACCTTCTGCATACTGTCAGCAATGCTGCTAAAAGGGCTAAAATTTCTAAAGTTTGATTTGTAACACCATACATAAAACACAACCTGCAAGAGGATTGTACGCATAAAACTTCATKCCATAGTATCTCAAACACGGCAGCAGTTCTGTTTCCACCTGTCTTGTGGTGGCGTTGTACATTCCCTGTAAAAAGTAGTGGAAACAGTGGTCAGAAAGGTTCAGCTAATAAATGCAAATTGTGGCAAAGCTGACTTTCTGAATCAAACTGCAGATTTTATTCACGTTTTTGTTTTCAGCTCAAGACTTTTGCTAAATAAAAACATACACATTTATGTTAGAAAACCAAACATTTGACAAACTTATTATTTTAAAAAGTCCCAATATCTGACTTTGCCCATTCATTATAAGAGAGATAATAMAACACCTTTCGTCAAATGGCGTCACACGAAAAGTGACAGGTGCCCCACCCCTTTTTGACAGCTGGGGGCGGGACTTCCGGTCTATCCCCTCCTCACCCTCCCCATTCCCCTTTCCATCAAACTGTCACCACTACCCCGCTCCCCCCACTTCCCATTTTCATCAACTGTCACACTAACTACTTCCCCTGCAAACCCCAAACTGAAAACTTTTCATCAAATGCCCCCTACCACCAATCACATCCATTTTCTTGCCCACTTACACCCCCSATCCCACCCTCCTCCGGTCCTAGAGTATTGAAATAGGATGAGTTCGTCTCTGTATCTCCATCAGTGAGAAACAGCTTCAGTGCTCTCCAGACGACAGAAGAAAGTTCACTCCTTTCCTGACAGCTTCAACGACCGCAGCAGCGAAGTTACAATAACTAAATTTACAGGTTAGTAATTGTTTTATTAATCTGTTTGTTTTTACATGATACAATTTGATTTTGCCTTTTCTTTCTGTTCCAGAAACCATTCCCTGAATCAGAATAGGAAGTGAGTTTGTTTTCCGCGTTTCACTGACACGCGCTTTGTATTATTTGAAAATATTAAAATCTATTTTTTAGATGATTCAACCACCAACGAAGAACTAAGGAGCGTGTCTTCAGTGTCTCCTGACCATTCTGCATTTAGCCAAAYTTTGCATCAGGTTGATTGAAAATTAGAAAAAAAAAAGTCTAGTTAAACCATTCTGAAATAAATTATTTCCGAGCGTTAGAAGGGGCTCTGCTAAATCTCATTCACAATTCTCCCACAATTCTCCCTCACCCTCAGAACCTAACAGAATTTCCGTTCAGTCTTTAGAGAATTTGTTAAGCAATGTTGAGCGCAGTTCTCCTCCAGGTTCCCCAAACCAGACCGATAGTCTCCTCGAAGCTCTGCGTTATGAAATATCCCTTCTAAACAGCAGATCGACCCCGAACAGAACACCTGAGATTAATCAAATCAACCCACAAAGCCCTCAAATGTACCTGGCTCAAACTTTTGACAGTTTACACTGCATTTCACCGCATTGAAATTTCCAAGTTTCAGTTAAAACTTGTTCTGTGGTCCTTAAACAGAGGAAAACACCTTAGAATGTGGTTATTCTTCCTATTTCATTGTCTCTTACATGTTCACATTCCAATAATAACAAAACAAAGAGCTCTGCAATCCAGTTGTGCAGAAACTACAGTTGTGTTTGTGTGTGAGGTTTAAACTGGAACAACAAGAAATAACACTTAAAGGTGCTCTACTGGAAGCTTACAACATCAGCTGAAATGATTCAGAATACATCATGACAGTAAGCATACAATACATTTATAAATAAAACAAGAAAGAAACAATTAAATACATTCAAAACTTAAATACACGGGTGACAATTTCATTTTCATTCACAGTACTTAAATGCTAAATTATTTAACTTAGTGTAATGAAATGTTCACATTTACAAAAAAACAAACCCATAAGATACAAACACATCCTAAAACAGTGGCCACAACATTTATTGCTCTGCTTTGTCACARTAAAGTGGGAAGCACCTTTCTGCATTGCAAATAACTCGAACTTATGAGGCTAATTATCTATTTATTTGTATTTTTTAGAAACAAAAAATTCCTGTCCCAGCTAATATAATGGAAAAACAATTACACACCACTATACATTAACCCCTTAACCCTAACTAACCCTAACTACATGTCAGAACAACACTCATTTAGGTGTCTGCTGAATACACACTAATTACTGTCAATTTCACAGACTTGGGTGAAAGACTTTTTTGTTACAACTTTGAAAAATACTTTTAATGGTCGAGAGAAAGAAAAACACTAAACTTTTTTTTTATTACAAATGAAAAATACATTTAATGGTCGAGAAAATAGAAAAAAAATGTAAACTTTTTTTAAATTTGTAAAATACAATCACATGTATCAAACATTTGAAAATAAAAACAACCAGGAGGTAGATAGGAAAAAAAAACTATTTACAGTTTCAAATCACGCAGTAAAAAAAAAACTAAGTAGAAAGTTAATCTACTGATCTGTAAAAGTTGGTGAACGGTTCAAATCCTTTCACCTCAGAATCAGTCATTGTTTCATACATGGTGTAAATCAGATCAAACACATTCTTCTCAAATCTGAGTTGAAATAATAAAGTCTGTGTGATGATTTTTACAGCATAATCACTTTATTTCTAGTGAAATGTATTCTGGCTGGTTTATACAGAGTGTACACATCTTGTGAACTTAAACATTTTTTAATTTTGAGTTTATTTCCATCTCCGATTGATCCCACGCTGCAGATTTTAATCTCTCTACACCCCCGTAACTCCCGGGGTTGTTCGGGGTGTAATAAATTTGTTTTAGAATTTTTTGTTCATCCATCCTAACCCGATTGAATCTGGGGAAAAAATGACGAGTTCAGAACTAGCTCACCTAAAGGTTGGAGCATCTTTAACTCTAGACTATTAGTTGTCTTGTATATTTTTCATGATTGGTAAATATTTATCCACAAAATCATTATAATTTAAAAACAGGAAGACTTAAAAAGTGTTGTACTTAGTTATTACCATGAACACAGTGGTCTTGTTTCAGGTTGTTTTGAATCTCTTTATTGCATTTTTTCTGCTTGTCTCAGTTACACAACAAACTGTGGTTTGATTTTTTTTCCCCATAGACAAAAAGTTTTTTTTTTATTCAATAGTTTTTAATCAAATAACTGAAGGAGCTGCTTTTCTGTTGGAAATGCAAAAATCAAACAAAAAATACGTAGTGCTTGTGCGATTCGTAGTGCGGATAAAGCGTAGTCTAAAATATCAAATAAATCCGGATGCACAGATTAGTCTGCGTTGGGAGTATTTTGAGGATTTTTTTGAGTATTTTCAGAAGTTTCCGCAGCGTCCTGATCAGGTTGACGCGTACGTTTCTAATTGCAGATAATGAATTATTCAAAGCATTAACAAGTAGACTGATTGCAGTCTGGTCCGGGTTTAAGCTGTGAATTTGACGAGTTTTGGAGCGGTGCTGATCAGGCTGTTGTTCTGCGACAGGTGCATTTAGCGCAGTTAACGCACGGTCTAAACGATCAAAACAGTTTAGCCAGGTATGAAAATTTGAGGGCTTTGTGGGTTCATTTGATTAATCTCAGGTGTTCTGTTCGGGGTCGATCTGCAGTGTAGAAGGGATATTTCATAACGCAGAGCTTCGAGGAGACTATCGGTCTGGTTTGGGGAACCTGGAGGAGAACTGCGCTCAACATTGCTTAACACATTCTCTAAAGACTGAACGGAAATCCTGTTAGGTTCTGAGGGTGAGGGAGAATCATGGGAGAATTGAGAATGAGATTTAACAGAACCGCTTCTAATGCTCAGAAATAATTTATTTCAGAATGGTTTAACAAACTACTTTTTTTTTTCTAATTTTCAATCAACCTGATGCAAAGTTCGGCTAAATGCAGAATGGTCAGGAGACACTGGCTCCTTAGTTCTTCGTTGATGGTTGAATCATCTAAAAAAATAGATTTTAATATTTTCAAATAAYAACCCTAACCCTAAAAACAAACAGATTAATAAAACAATTACTAACCTGTAAATTTAGTTATTGTAACTTCGCTGCTGCGGTCTTTGAAGCTGTCAGGAAAGGAGTGAACTTTCTTCTGTCGTCTGGAGAGCACTGAAGCTGTTTCTCACTGATGGAGATACAGAGACGAACTCATCCTATTTCAATACTCTAGGACCGGAGGAGGGCGGGATCTGGGGTGTAAGTGGGCATGAAAAAGGATGTGATTGGTGGTAGTGGGCATTTGATGAAAAGTTTTTCAGTTTGACAGGTTTCAGGGATGGGAGGGGGAGAGTAGAGTGAGGGGCAGATGGTGGAAAGTTTGCAGGGGAAGTGTTTGGTGTGACAGCTGATGAAAAGGGGAAGTGGGGAGGGTGAGGAGGGGATGGACCAGAAGTCCTGCCTCAGCTGTCAAAAAGGGGCGGGGCACCTGTCACTTTTTGTGTGACGTCATTTGACGAAAGATGTTGTATTATTTCTCTGTTGTATCTGTTTGTATTACAGTTTATTTGATTATGATAAGTCAAGAAATACCTGATAAACAGTGGGAACAATCCAGTTGTTATGTCTGCAGATGCACACAATTTCAGCCACTTCCCACGATGCATAGTTCGACAAGCCCATCTCCTTGAATTTTCCCTGAGAGGAATTGTTTCAACATTATTTACAACATACAGTTACTATAAACTCTAAAGAGGCAGTGCAATCTTTTTACATTTAAAAACAGAGAATTATTGCAGACAGCTGAGGCTGCAGATTATCTAACCTCCTGGTGAAGTTGGTGGCAGGCCCTCAGAGTATCCTGGATGGGGTTCTGATGATCCGGGGCATGAAGGTAGAAAAGGTCCACACAGTCTGTCTGCAGCCTCTGCAGGGAGGTTTCCAGCTGGGAGCGCACACTCTCCGGCTTCAGCGTCTTCCCATCCCAGGGGTTGGCCTTCGTGGCTATGCTTACTGTGTGGGGAAAAGATATTTGCTGCTGTAGCTGTAATATAATAAAAACGTAAACGCTGAGTCTGCATTCACACTGTTGTTTTACTGTTTTATAGCTTCTTCCATGTGTTTTTGGTCTGACTATTTAAGCATACTTTCAGCTATTTTAACCATTTATCAACCGTTCAACTTGCTCAAGGCAATATGGTTATGGCTTTTATTTTTTGCAATTTTAATACTTTTTATGTTATTTATATATCTTGACATTCCCCCCCAGTGAAATGAAACATATTCACACAAATGCTTTGCTGGTTTTATTAGCTTTTAGCTACTGGTTTGTTGGCTTTACTTTTTAGCTACTGTTTAGGTATTTTAAGCTTAATTACCGTTTTACTATTTTTTGTTTTTAGCTACTGTTTTGTTGATTATTGTTATTTTTACCCTTTAATGCTATTTTTTTGCTATATATTTTTTTCCATTATAATTATTTTAACTTTCTTAACTTAAGTTTCAGCTTCTTCAGCAAAGTCATTCAACACTTAGCATTCACACTGCATTTTATGCAGAATTTCTCCTGTTTTAACAGTTTAAAATCTTTTAATTATAAAAACAAACATGTCACCACAAGAGTTATGGTTCTGCCATTTGCAACCCTGGCATTTAGTTAATATTACATTATGCGATGTGCATCATAGCTACTTCGACGAACTTGCATTTCCTAGCAAGTTGCGTTTGTGTGTGAATTTATTGAAACTGATCAGGTGGAAATTTGCTGACACCTTGTGGTCAAAATTAGAACTGCAAGCAAATCACGAGAAATGGCCGAAAACTTTTGCACTTTACTACACCTTTAATTGTGCACGAGCAAAGTACTAAATCAAACGTTTTAGTGTGTGATTCACTAACTAAAAAAAAAAAAACTAATAAACAAGTTTTACTTATCCATATTTTTGGCAGCATTAAATCACTTAACACTTAAAAAATAAACACTTCCAGCAGGAGCATACCTGTTTTAGGCAGGTTCATGTCTCCTATGATCGCCTCCGACTTTCCATCCATGTACATAAACGCCGTGTCCACCTGCTTGTGTCCTCTGTCCAGGAAAGCCTTCACCATCTCCCGGCTCTGCTCGGCGTCAGCTCGCCCTCCAAACGCCATAGTTCCCAGTAAGCTAACCGGTCGTTTTGCTGCAGACATGTTTCTACAAACCACTAACCTGTGCAGGTGTTTGAAGGCTGTTTCTTTACTGTGAACCTGTCGAACTGCAGAGAGTGCAGCTATGACTCGCAGCATGCTACAGGACGCTAGCCTAGCCTGTGTGAGGGTCAGAGGTCGCCTGAAAACAAGGGAGAGTCCTTAAATTACTTTCACGACACAAAACGTGAAATTCCTAACAGACTCACTATTCTAACACTTTTCTGTTGTTTTGTTTAAACAGACGGAACAAAGTTCAATTTCGTAACGACTTCACGTGGTTACGCACATCTGTAAATATTTGTTCAAGTCTGTTAATTTACAAGCCAGTCAGTCCGTGGGTGCAGTTACTATTTATGACCACAAGGTGTCAGCATATCTTCATTTTATAAAGGCTTACTAAAGTCTAGTCTCTTGTCGACTCCACAAACAAATTTATTATTTTAATAAAAGTATGTTATTCGTTGTACAAATCATTGTAAAAATAAATAAATAAATAAATAAATAAATAAATAAATAAAAGTTGCTAAACTTTATTCATTATTTATTAAAAGTTGTTAAACTGCAGCTTAATAGCAAGTTTATTTTAACTAAAAATAATAATTAGAAATACATGGAACACAACTGACTGATCATGACACACAACTGATCAGCCCTCTCATTTTGTGCACTTCGCAACCAGGTGATTAAAAATTAAATGAGCATAAGTGAATATAAGTTTTATTGAATTTCACTACATTTTTTCACTTTTCTGTTTGATAGCATCATCAAAGGAACAATAATAAAACAGCATTTTAAAAATTCACAGTGTTGCTTGAAGGTTTTTCATTTTCAACAGGAGTCTAAAATAATTTACTGATGTGGAGTGACAATTGATCCCATAATCAGATTATGTTCACCTGAATGTAACTGGACTGATTAAACTGGTTGCTGAAGTCCAGGTCTGGGTTTTGGCAGCACATGAGATGAGGCTGCACGGACAGCACTGACCCGGGACTCTTTGGGGTCACGAGCATACACGAGGGGTAATGAAAGCTTTGTTCGGAAAACAGCAGTGGTTACTTCTGCTTTCTGACCCTTTGACCACCCTTTCAGCTGGTTTGATCTGCAGAATGACCACTGGCTGTTTCTGACACTGTTCATGTTCTCCGTGCGCGCTCGCTTCTTTGCGCACAATCCGCTTTATGGAGCTTTACGCACACGTCAAAACCAGAACTAATTCGGGATTTTGCGCATGTTTCCGATTAGAATGGAAGAAAAAAACGTCTGAGATCTGTTCTTGTGCACACTTGCTGAAGCTTTGCCTCTCACCGCCCTTACCTCCCCCCACCTCCTCCACGAACTCCTCCCGTTCACTGAATGGATGCAAAGCGCGCAGCCACGCTCGGTTTCTCCACATGAACCCAAACATCTGCTGTGATGAGGTGAAGGCGGTGAGCTGAGGGTTTCAGTCAGTGTCACCCAGCAGCTGAGAGACGGAGGCGGACACGTGTCTGATGGAGCTGAGGAGCTCCTCTGAACACTGATTTGTTTTTTGTTTTTTCCGAATTGGGGAATAAATATATATTTTTTTAGCTACTCACTGATGAGACGCACTCATCAGTGAGTTTGTGAGCGAACCAGTTTGGAAACTGAAGAGCAAAATGGACAGCCTTCTATTTCCTTTTTTGTTAATATTTATTAAAGATGCTCATGCGTCCACGCACAGCATTTCAAGCAACCTCCAACCTCACATGTAAGTATACACCTCGTCTGATTTACCTTTTTTTGTATTTTAAAGTAACTAAATAAGAGTACAACTTATCCTGAACCAATTGATGCCGTTTGAAAGAGTCCACTCTAGGAGTTTTCCAGATTTGTTGATATGTAATTTTGAAATGCAGGTATGCACTCAATGTAAACAAAGTCTGCTGAGAAGCTTGAGTCATGTGACTGACTAACATTAATGTGACCATAAATGCTCGGTTAAAAATATGTCTGAGTCAGACAAGTGAGAATCTTTAAACGTGGCAAAACATCTGCAAAACCAGTAAGTTTTAATGTTGCATCGTTTCAGTCATGTGGTGGTTGGCATCCAGTCACAAATTTTGCTGACACATTTTATTTGCTCCCTTCTCCGTGACTTTGCAACGAGCATTTTCACCTGAAAAATTCACCTGCTCGAGTGATAAATCTGTGTTGAGCGTCAGCAGCAAACAGACACATCATCGTCTACAGAAGCTGCAGTCCTGGTTCCACATGATGACCTCCCAACTCAGAAGCTGTTTGTTTTTAAGCCCCTCAAATAAACAGCTGGCTGCTTACAGTGGGTATTTTCAACCTCATTATAATAAACAGACTGAATTAAACAAGAGGAGTTCCCACTAACAATAAGGCTTTTCATCCTGTGGTTGCATACAGCTGCAGGTGATTACTTTTGTTTATGAGATGAGCAGCTGGATGTTGTTCAGACTCTGATCCGTGCCTTTTTGTTGCTATTTTTAAAGCATTTCACAATTTGTGTTGTGCTCTTTTTGATTGGACCCCTGATGCAGCGTTCAGAGAGGGCAGGGTCTGATGGCTGACCCAGACGAGCTCTGTGCTCATCAGATTAAAGGGCTCATCATATTTCCTGCAGGGGGGGAAATGTTACCCAGCTTTCTTTTTTTTTTCCTGCTGACCCTCAGCCTCATACAAGTGAAAACATGCATGGTATGAAAAATGCTGTTATTTTTCTTGACCATTGTTATGGATTTGCTTGTGGTTAGGATTAATTGGGTGAATGCCTTTAGGCATTCAACCTATTGCTTTTGTTTTTCTCTACATTGTACGTTTTTCGGCACCTATCTCGTCCGACAGTTTTTGTCCGATTCGTACAATTCATATATCAAAATGTCCGGCTCATTAATGCCATGCCTGCTATATCTCCGGGGATTTCARCTACTTATACTTTTTTAGCTATTTCACTTTTTTAGCTGATTTTGGCCCCATTGACTTTGAATGGGGCTATGTTTCAACTGCTTTG